TGTTTCCTGTGTAGCTGGGATGAGAGGTACATGCCATTATGCCGAGGCACTGTTTGAGATGGGGTCTCATCAACTTTTTTGTCTAGCTGGCCTCACACTGCAATCCTCTTAGTCTCAGCCTCCCAAGTAGCTAGGATTACAGGTGTGAGCCACAGCACCTGGCCTTGTCTAGGTATTTGTCTATAGAAAAACATACAAACAAACAAACTGTGGTGGCTTCCATACAATAGAATACTATTAAGCAATAAAAAGAAAAAAACTACCAATCTCAGAAACTTTATGCTGAGTAACAGAAGCAAGATTACAAAAGAATTATATGATGTTATACAAATGACATTGCAGCAAGAGTTGCAGCTGCTTGGGCTGAGGAGCAGGGGTTGGGTGAGAAGGGCAAAAGGGAACTTCCTGGGGTGATAAAAAAGTTCTATATATCCTTAGAGGTGTGGTTATCTGAGTGGTCAAACTGTACACATAAGATCTATATATTTCAAAAAATTACACCTACAAAAAAAATGTAGACAGACACCAGCCTGAGGGGTGGCAGTTTTCATGATTAAGTTCCAATAGCTTCCCAGTTCTCAACAGACCCTGTGTCACAGGCCTCTAGCCCTGGTGCCTCTGGTCTGGCCTCAGCACTCACCTAATTACACAGTAGACACCCGTAGGTATGTGACACCTACAAGTCTCTACACTAGGCCTACCATCTGCAGGGTACCCTGCCAGACCCAGCTCTGTCTGGGAAGCCCTCCCAGAATCAGCACAGCCCCCTGAGGTCCTCAACATGGGGGCTCACTTCCATTATGGCACCTGGCACCTGTTCCTAAAGGGACTGGTTTACCAATGCTAAGAGTGTGTGAAGTCAAGGGGGAAGAGCATCCCTAGCATTGGCACAGCTTTAGCTAACATTTCAGTGGATGAAGAAGCAGATCTATAGTAAAAACCAATTACCCTAAGGGTATGAGAAGGCCAGTTGGCAGAGATGGGAGAAGAGCCAACACTAACAAGCAGGCCATTGAGGCCCTACAAGGAGCCTTGGTGTGGAGCGATGAGCAGAGATGCTGGAAAACCACAAGCTCTCTGTGCTCCTTGGCTCTAGGTCCCATGACTGAACTGGTCTTCTCATCCCCACTGTAGGACACAGCTACCTTCCAATCCTGCAGCTCTCATCAGAACCCTCTAAGGCCAGGTCCCCACCCTGCTCATCCTACCTCAGCCCAATCTGTTGGGAACACGAAAGTGCCACATTCCAAACAACATGGATGGAACTGGGGAACATTATGCCAAGTTCAATAACCCAAGCACTGAAAGATGAACACCAGAAGTACTCACCCATTCACATGTGGAACCTGAAACAATGAAACTCAAGGAAGCAGAGAGTGGAATGGAGGCTCCTAGAGGAGGGAACGGGGGATGGGATATGACAATCAAAGAGTAACAAGACTCAAGTGCGTGGGGGAATATATTTTTACTTTTCTTTGAAATATGTTGTACGTAGGAGCCAGGCAGATAAGGAGGATTGTTGTGCAAGACAAGCCTGAGGAAAGTTAGCAAGACCCTTTCAAAAACAAGCCAGGTGTGAAGGCACACACTTGCTACTCAGGAGGCAGAAGTAGGAGAATCACAATCCAAAGCCAATCCAAAGTTAGCATAAGACCCTATTAGAAAAGCATACAGAAAGCAAAAAGTACAGTAGTCGTGGCTCAAGAGGTAAAGTGCTGCCTTTCAGGGCCATGAGTTCAATCTCCAGTACCACAAAAAAAAAAAAAACCCAGATGTAGAGATAGAAATAGAGATTGCACAGTATGATGAATGTAGCAAATAATGCACTGTACATTTCAAAATCACTGACTGTAAATTTTAAATGCTCTTCCCGTAAGAAATGATAAGTAGCTGAGGTACACAGCTGAGTAGATAAGTCAATTGGTTTAATTATTCTATATTGCATCCATAAAACATAGTATATTTTGTTTGCCATAAATATAGACAGCTCTAATTTGCCAATTTAAAACTTTTTAAAAGGAACAAAGAAAATTCTATGACCCAACTTTAAATTGCTTTTATATTAATATGCCAAGGATTATCTTTTTATAAGCAAAATCAAATACCTGCACATTTTATAGGCATTTAAAATGTCTATTTTGTTTCACTCCTGCTATGGTTTGGACATGAAGAATCCCCCTAAAAGGCTCACATGCTGAAGGCTTGCTCCTCAGCCAGTGGATCCATCACTGGGAGGGGATCAGATGATGGAGTCATAATTTGGTGGCATTATTGGAAAGTGGTGGAACTGGGAGGTGGGGTGAGTGGAACAGTGGGGGTTGGTGGGGGAATATGGAGATGTGCCTTTTAAGGGTAAGCCTTGTCCCTGGTCCCATTTGTCTCTCTGCTTTGTGGCCACCATAAGGTGAGCAGCTTTGCTGTAGCACATGCTCTGAGCCATGATGTTTCAGCCTCACCACAAGCCCACAGAGATGGAGGTCAAGAGAAACCACGAAAACCATGAGCCAAAATAAATCTTTCACCCTCTAAATGGCTTTTTTCAGGTATTTGTCACAGCAATGAAAAACTAACAAACATTACTCCCAGATTATTGTTTTCCTCTCCCTCTCCCTCTCTGCTGTATTGGGGTTTGAACTCAGGGCTTCTTCTCCTTGCCACACAGGTGCTGTACCACTTGAGACACAACCCTAACCCTTACTTTTCTCTCTTTTTAAAAGTTCATCGTAATCAAATTGTATCCCACCTCTCCATCCACAAATGCTTTCAGGAAGCAAGTAGATGACTGCACTGCTCTGCACACTGGAGAGAATGGGTCTTGGTCAAGAAGGAACAAACAGCAAACACTGTCCTGAGCAGAGTGGCATCCCCAGTGTCAGGAACCCTGGACTAAGGTCACTCAGATCAGGATCTGGTATACAGCAGATAACCCTCTCAACTGTCCCCACCCTTATAGTTGATGCCTGCCCTTGGGCAACTTCAGACAGAATGTTGAACTTAACAGGATAAACAGCAGAGAAGAGGAAAACTTAACTCTAGGCTAAATCCTTCTCCACAATTAAATCAGCCCATGTTGGTGCAGAGGTTTTCAGAGGCAGCATGCATGAAACTATCTATTAAACCCAATGCAGTTAACGAGAGTCTTTTTAATATGTCTAATTCTGACTACCCTTGCCCTGGGCACCAACTTAATTCTACTTAAGGATAGCAGATAGCAATCTCTGAAAAGCTGTTGTGTAAATTATGTGGTTTTGGGGAGAAAGAAGCAGGAACCTTTTCACCAGAGCAAAAGAGAAGCAGCTGAGAAGAGAGCAAGGCGTCAGTGATCAGGATGACCATCGCAGCAAGTTTACCACCCCTGACCTTGCTAGCTATTGTGCTGCCCCTCCTAAATTAACCTAACCATCAAATGAAGAAACTTTTCAGAAATTAGCAGGCCAGGAGCTGACAGTAATACATTTTCCAAAATATGATCTTTTCTCATTTGTTACAGCTGCAAATTGAAGAACAACATATGCCCAGGGTTCTTTTTATAAAGACCTCTAGGCAAGTTCTAGAAAAGGTCAGGTGGGGAGGTTGTTCTGTGTATAATCAGCAGAATGGCGGAAGGCACAGAACTGCAATATCAATGTTTTCCAGCATCCCTGCTGTGGTCCAGGTCTCCTGCCCACCACTCTGGCTCTGGTTCTTCCCTCACTATATTACCTTGACTTGGACTTGCACACTGTATGCATCTGGGACAAGAGTTGGATGGGGCAGGAGATTCATTAGTTCTGTTTTTCTGCTGTCTGGCCGGTAGACGAGCTCCATGCAATGCTGTTGGTTTGAACTAAAGGCGCCAGAAAAGGTATAGCTGGTGGCTGGGGTAGTGGCACCTGTCTCCACTCTCAGCATGGGGACACTCACTCTAGATGACCTGACAGGCTCTGAGGATAAACCTGGAGAGGTATAGCAGTGCAAGGTAATGCAGTGACATGATTTCTGTGTTCCCAAAAGGTCACTTGCCTGGCACTATTCTAGGGCACAAAGGTACAAGCCAGGCAAGCTTGCAGGAGTTTGCATCTTATCCCAAGCTGGAAAAGTTGATTTTTTTTAAAGCCTCAGCTCTATTTTTAAACTGTTATGAATTTGACCTCTTTGAACTTTTGTTCCTTATCAGTAAATGACCTGCAATTAAGAGCTGCCAGGAGAACCAGCAGGAAAACAGTGAGGTCAGGACTCAAGGGAGGAAGCCAGTGTTAATTACAGGTAAGGGGCCCAAGCTCACGGTTAAGGGACTGGCACCGGGGGCAAGTGGAAGCTCTGTTACTCATTAGGTCCAGCTGAGAAGCTGCTCTGAGAGGAAAGTCAGAGAAGGCTACCTGGAGAAGCACAGGATTTTAATTTCACAGGATGAGGAACGCTTACCAAAGAGCTGGGCAGCTGGTAGGAGATAAAGGCAAATTTGCCAAAGCATGTTGCAGGGTTACCCATAGCAACGCTAATCCCTCCGGTTCACTCCTATAGAGCACAAGAAAACTTCCCTTTGGGACACTGGCCCTTATAAACATCCACGCCAAGCACGTGGGTGTAATAACTAAGAAAACTATTTCGCAAAACAGAGACCTGCAGTAACGCAAGGGGCAAGCTCAGCCAAAGCCCACCCTGCGCAAGAGTTGGCGGCATCAGGATTCGAACTCCCCGCCTAAGGGCACGTCTGCATTTCATCCCTGGCGCGAGTCCTGGCACCTCCCGTTGCCCTGGAAACGGCTCCGCGCACGCGCATACTACGTACACTCGCTTCCTCTCTTTTTTTTTTTTTTTTTTTTTTTTTGGCGGCGGGATACCGCCAGAGATTAAACGTGCTGTCGAAGCACGAAGCGACGTCCTCTCTTCGCACGCGGCCGCGGATCCCTCCGCCACCCGCGGCCTGCGCGTTGCCTCTCGACTGTACGCTCGGAGCGGCTTCCCGCGCCGCGCCCCACCCCCACACCATCCTCGCCCCAACCCCCAGCCCAGCTCACCTGCCGCCCGCGTCTCCATGGCAACGCCCCCACCGCAGAGGAAAAAAAAGCCTCGGGTCTGCTCGTACCCCTCCCGTGCCAACCGAGAAGGCGGGACGCCCTGCGGACCCTTCGCTTTTTATTTTTATTTTTTTAAGAAAAGAGCCAGCGAGGTTATGGCGAATCTGCGGCATCCAACATGGCGGATGGAGTCTTCGCCCTCCTCCCCACCGGGCTCCGGCGCCTGCGTAAGGACGTCCGCTGCGGGGTCCTCCCCTACCCGCGCTGCGACCGGCACTGCGCGTGCGCACCTCGGGCTCCGTGCACTGCGTCCGGTCCAGGTATTCCGCGCTCCTCATTTTGTGCTACGCCCAGAAGTGGGGCCTGGGTCCCGGATCGCGGATCTCGGAGTTGGGAGCCTTCCGAGTACCGGCCGCATGCGCCGTCCCCGAGCGGACGCGCAGGATGTGTGGTGCCACCGGGTGGGACATGGAGGGGAGCGGGGGGTTCGCGCCGCGGAGCTGCGTTTTATTAACTGCGGTGGTTCACCGATTTGTCCTCCGGGAGGTCGCAGCCCGCGTCCCTCGCAAGGCTGCAGCGTCCGGCCTGAGTTGTGCAGGTGGATGGGACCGCGGCGTGGCCGTGGGGAAGTGGGTGCGAGCTCGCCTCTCACACGTGCGTTTTTGTCTGTCCCTGGCCCAGTCTCCAGCGGGCAGCCGCAGGCGTGAAACTTAATGACTTGTTTTCGCTTTGACGCTAAAGGGGTTAGCGCTCATGCTCCTCTCAGCCCTCGGCTCGAGTGACAGTCCCACGGCCCCTCGCCACCCGTCTAAAGTGTCCCTCCCGGGTCACTTTGTATTTTCCTCGCTGTATCCGCTCCCATCTGACCTTACCTCACCTCTGTCGCTTACCCATCTGCCTTGCACTCTTTCAGCCGAGAAGCTAGAACTGAGTGACAGTTAACTGAATAAATGTTTGTGTGTAACAAATAGCATGCTTTTGTTTATGCTAATGATGTTAGCTTTTCAGATACAACCTAGTTCCGTTTTTAAGTTAATGTAGAGGAAAGCGCACATGATGCAGAGACACGCAAAAAATAAAATTACGTAAAAGCCGCCCTCAAATGACAAGTTCCGCAACACTGGTTTGTTTTTATGGTTCCCTAAAAAGCGGGACTTTCCCTGGAATAACGCTCCCGTCCCCTCAACACACCCCCCCCCCGCCCGGTTCTGTTCAGAAAGTCCTGAGGCTGCTGTCGGTGTCCCCATTTCCCCACAGCTCTGGGTTCTGCCTCTGGTCCAGGTGCACTTACCTGTTTGCCCAGCCCCCTTCCCCCAGGGGACTGTAAGGGATGAGTCCTGTAGCAGAGGCTGGCGGATGTCTCCTCTCTGTTTCCACAGTGCTGATTGCACAGTACACCAAATGTCACTTTTTTTTTTTCATACAATGCCTCTAGACAGTGAACTTTAGGATGACTTGTCTGCTTTCTCAGGAGCTTTTTCTTCCTTGAACCCTAATCCTATTCTAAGGAGTCACTACAAGACCCCAAATTTACCATAGTATATTAAACAAATGTTCAGAGGTAACCTCCTCCCCTGCCCTCTTCATTTCATCTTGGCAACTCAAAAGGTTAAATTGGACAGATGAGAAAAGGAAAGTTCAGGGAAGTTGTATGTCTTTGTAACATCACACAGCAAGCCAGTGAAGAGTGTGTGGAACTTAATGTCTCTGTGCCCAATTTCTTAACCCTGCGTACCACAGAGCCTTGCAAAAGAACCACTTCCAAGACAGCCACGGAGTTATTGCCACCCCTACACATCCTACCTCATAAGATAGTGGTTAGGTGGGGCCCACCAGAGTCTTTTATTTAGAAGTGAACTGCTCAAAAAGCTGCATTGATGAGCTTTTCTTTTTAAAACCATAAATATTTACAATAATCGCTGTTTCACTGGAAATCGATTTCTGTCAGGAAATGAGCATTTTCTGGGTTGCTGACAGTGTTGATTTTGTGCTGGACTGCCTTTCTTGCAGCAGCGTTGAAATGTTATTTATTGATTAGCAGATGGATTGATTGCTCCTGGATGTTGTGACCAAAATGAGTTTTGGACAATACCAGTCCTAGGGATATACCCGAAGGAATGTATATCAGGTTATAATAAAGGCACCTGCCCACCCATGTTTATTGCAGCATTATTCACAATGGCTATGTTACGAAAACAGCCAAGATGCCCCACTACTGATGGGTGGATTAAGAAAACATGGTATCTATATACAATGGAGTTTTTTTCAGCCATAAAGAAGAATGAAACGTTGTCATTTTAAGGTAAGTGGATGGAACTGGAGAACATCATAAGTGAAGTTAGCCAAGCTCAGAAAGCCAAAGGCTACATGTTTTCTTCTAATATGTGGAATATAGACCTAATACAAATACAAGCAATATTATGAAAAAAAAGTCACACTAAAGGGAGATCACATGCAAGAGAGGGAGGGTAAAAGAAGGAAGTTAAGGTGAATATGGTTGATGTATTCTCTGTAGAAGAATGAATATAGAATTTTTAAACCTGTTGAAATCATAAGAAAGGGACAAAGGTAGAAAGAAGAAAAATAGAGAAGATGAACCAATTCGGGTTACAGTACATATGTACATGGAAATGTTACAAGGAAACTCCCTGTATAGCTATCTTAAACAAAAATGTCTTTTTTTTTTTTTTAACAAGATCAGAGAACAAGAGGGCAGAACAGGTCCTATCTGGTGAGTTGGTACCAGTGGGAAGGGGAGGGTGTGGGGGAAAGGGTGTAGGAGGGTGAATATGGTGCAAATACTGTGTAACATGTATGTAAGTGGAAAAATGAGACCTGTTGAAACTATTCCAGGAATGGGGGGAGGGGGACAGACGAGAATGATAGAGGGAGAATTCAACTATGACATATTTGATATATTGTAAGTACCTTTATAAATGTCACAATGTACCCTCAGCACAACAGTGATAAAAACAAATGAGTTTTGGAAATGAAGCAATTTAGACTTTGTCTCAAAACCCAATTCAGAACAATAAAATCAAAAGAAAAAACTGGGTGATGGTCCTGGGTTAGCTATTTGGGTAGCGGTAGCTCTCTCCATTATGCCTGTCACCTCACCTTCCTTCAATCCGTTTATCTGTCAGAGAAGAGTTTCTGGCCATCTGTTGTGACTGGAAGCCATCCTGGCCATGCATAGATGGAAGTAACTGAGGGCAGGTGGGGAGTCTAGGTTTTTAAGTGGAGAGACATGCGTCTACACCCGGCTCTTCATTGCCTTGCTGTGATGTGCACATTTTCAACCAGCAAACATCTGTTCTTTCCATTTGCCATTTGTATTTCAAAATGCCTTCAATTGATGGAGCATTAGTGGAATCAAATGTAAATCACTCAAAATTACATAATTAATGGCATCCTGCTCCAATGACGGTTCCTAGAGGAGGTCAGTTTCCCAGCTAGCCCACTAGCTCATGAGGGAATTTGTATCAAATTTGTGGATGTGAAGTGGCATTTTGTTAGATCAAAAGCAGTTAACTTGCATAATTGAGTGTATTTGTTTATAACTATTACTAGCTTTGTGACAAATACATTTAAATGAAAACAAAATTGTACATAATTTCATAAGATGCTATTTCATAAGATGCTACTGGCTTGAAAGCGAGTTTTAATAAAGGATTCCTGGGAGTAACCTTAAAATAATGGACCTTGAGGCACATGATAATGTTGAAAGCAGAATTGGGGATAAAAAGTTTGAGGTAAGTGTTAGGCATGTGGAAGAAAATAATTCATTTAAAATTGCATAGTGGTAGAGCACTTCTCTAGTATGTTCATGGCTCTGGGTTTGATCCCAGCAGCAAAAAAAAATTGTATAAAAGAATATAGAAGTATTAGAACTTCATGAGCTGTCATAGTAAACTAAATGGTGACCTTAGGAAACAAGGAAGGTCAACTCTGGCTTCAGGGGCCGTAGAGAGCCACCTTATCACTAGTCTCCTTGTGGCACCCACCCTTGTACCCTCAGCACCCAAAATATTCATGTCAGTAGTATTTCTCATAAGTAGCCAGGACCTCTTCAAGAAGCTGATTCCAACATTAAACGTGAAACATCTTAGGATGCCTCAAAAACTTCTGGCCTGCTGCCAGAACAGCAGGAACAAAGGAGCTAGGTAAAGAAGTCCCTCTGGCCAGGCTGTGACAATTTGCGTATCACAAAGAACATTCTTCTGGTACAAGTGAACCCTGAAGAGCCATGACTCCTTAATGATTTTTTTTTAATGTTTATATTAGGACGGGGATGTAACTCGGTGGAGCATATAGCCCTGTTTTGATCCCCAGCACTACAAAAAAAAGAAAAAATATGTGTATAAATCTTCACACATAACTAGTTACAGAGCTAGTTATAATTCAAAGAAAGAACAGATGTTGGATATTTTAGTAAGTAGGTGAATTAATATGGGGATCATTTCCTACTTAAAGTTCTGTGTTTTTGTTAACAAAATAGTGCATCTGTATAAATCAGAGCAGATAAGTTTGCTATGGGTAGTCACAGATTTCCAGAATAAGTAGGAAGTATTCCAGAACAAGGAGGGCAAGTTAGGACCGAGGGACTCATAAAATAAGCAGGTAGAAAGAGTTCACTAATCTGTGTTGCAAATTAATGGATTAGGAGAATGGCTGACTATGAACTATGTGGGCTTGCCAATTACACTGCAATGCCGATGACGCTCATCGTAAACTAAGACAAAACATTGTGTACCCAAAACTTACTCTGAGTGGGTGTGAGGGTTGCAAGAAATTGCTCATGAACTTCATCTGCCAAAGATCCAAGTAGGAAACACCAGCTGCCATTTAAGTCACCTTGAAGAACTCTGTCCCAACTCAGAATCCCTCAGCCAGTGGCGCAGAGTCTGGGTTTAATGCACCTGGGAAGGAAATAGTCTTTCTTGAAGATCTGAGAAGTGCGATCCTAGGAAAGTACAAAAGTAAGTTTTACAGAGAGAAAGAAATTGGTCAAATCAACAATAATGCCTCTTACAAATAGGCTTTGGTGTAGGTACAGTGAAAGTTTATGCTTTGAAGGTATTTGAAGCATTTAGAGTTACATTAAACTCAATTGTATTGAACCAGGATAATTTGATTATGTAAATGTTTAGGAAAATGTGATTTGTATTAAGTTTTGACTCATCAGTTGTGTTTAAGAAGTTTAGGGGGGGAAAAGAAAAAGGGAGAGAATGGTCCTAGATCCCAGAAACCAGGAGAGAAAAACAAGACCTCCCAGCGCCTAGCAGAATATCCAGCCCATAACAGGGACCCAATAAACAGTTGCTGAATGGAGGAAGGAAGAGATCAATTTCAGGAGGGAACCAGTAGGTGAGAAAAGAAGCAACACATGATTAAACATTAGTTTTGTAGTTGTAAACAGCACTGCTTTAGATGTCAGAGTGGGGGAAACAGATTTGACAAAAGCTCCAGGTCTGGTGTCCATGACTGTTGAGCTGGTTGAAGGACAATTCAGCTCCACATGGAAGTGACACGCAGCAGTGGAGAGATGAAGATTGACACACCTGGAGGTGTGGGGTGTGCTCCAAGCTATGTCACTGAGTGGAAAACCAGGGTGCATAACAGCATATGGAGTACCTTACTCTTTAGGAACCATTTTTATAGAAACTGTGAACATTATTACAGGTGCATAGAGAATCTGAAAATATGGAAAGAAATTTGTTAGAG